CCAACTCCTCCAAACTTCTTGCAAGGAGATGTTTTTAGGTGCCTGTTTGGCTGGCTCCCTGCGAGGAGCCGCAAGAAGCAGGAGCCAGAGCCTTGCCAAAGGGGGTCTCAAAATCTTAAAATACATTTTTAATTGTCTGAAGGTGTCATCTAGGTCCCCACCAATTCTCTAAATGTGGTCTTATCCAAGTCTAAACGGATGTTTACTCGACCTGCTATTCTACGTGACATGTCAATTTAGCGCTTACATATGGATATGACATCTACATGTCAACGACCAAGCTACACCTTAGAAAAATCGTTTCTTTTTCATAAGGTCTCGGATGAAGATGATTTTTATATGAAAATTGTAGCTCTTGATGAGATCTACAAACTTTATACTTTTGAGTTTTTTTTCATTTAAGATTGTTAATATACTCAAAAAATAATATAAAATTCCAGCAACATATTAATCGCGTACCAAGATTTGTGGCGTTAAAAAAATCTTTCTTGTATGGTGTCAAATAAAGATACTTTAAATGAAATTTTAGCTAAGATCTATAACTTCCTAGTTTTGAATTTTGTCATTTGAGATCGCTAAGATAGTCAAAAAGATAATATAAAGGTTTCCCTTGAACTCCAAAATGTTGGGGGTGAACCACTTGAATGACGTTTGGGCATGTGACTCCACTAAATTCATAGCTGACTGAGGTCCTGCGTCGATATAAAGCAGGGACTCAGTCTGTTCGTTTGTTGGTTTCAGCCAGCCCAAACCAGCCAACCAACAGTGTTTTTCTCTCACAATAAACCAGCACCAGCCAGCCTAAACCAGCCCATAAATCATCCAGCGAACAGGCCGACTGACTTCACTAATTCTTGTCAAGGCACGTAGACAAGATTGAGCATACTTGGAAGTCGAGGGTGGACAAAACACTTGAAATGAAAATTAACATCTCGAGATTAAATCAAGGGTATATAAGAAAAGATAATGAGATACAATCCATGACCAGAAAGAAACACATGGACAATCAAGGTTTTGCCAAAAGTTATAATCAGGACAGCCAAAAATGGTGATATGTTGGTCAAGTTCGTGTTCGGGCTTTGAGCTTGTCAGATTATCTTGCCAGAGCGTCGACAGGGAGAGAGACGCGAGAGAGGATAGGGATGAGAGAGGGGGCACGCATTGCAGGAGAAGATGTGAAAATACTATTATACTCTTAAAAATTAATTAGAAAACAGTTTCTAGCCCATATATTTTTGGTTTGGGCCAACATTTTTTTTGCAAGCACTGTAAAAATCGTCAAAACATGAACAGTTTTCTTTATTGTGACAACCAAATACAAACAATAATACAAATGCGACGCCCAATTCTCTATACTTGACAACGCTCAACCAATACTGTACAGTGACACAACAAATCCTGAATGTCTGAATCCCCAAACGCCGTGGGCAACAGAGTTAGATGAGCCATGATGCTCACACGGCCGAGATGGCATAGACGGCGACAGCCGCGAATGCTAGCACCAGGCTCACCGCCCCCCGGATGGACGCACCGCCGGACGTAAGGTACGGCGCCGTCGGCGTCGTCTTCGATCCAGTGCCGGTTCCTGCATCGGTCCCTGTCATGTAAGAAAGAAGCCGTGGACAGCTGAACCGACGAGCAACGGTTGTTTGTCGCCTTACCTGAGGTGGCTGGTACGCCGGACGATGGCGTGGCCGGCGTCGCTGCGCCCGGAGCGCTGCCGCCACCAACAGCTGCCAAAGCAACGAATGCGGTTAGCACGCGTCAGCAATATGCAAAAATCATGGCGCACTTACGCGCCAGCAGCTCTGCTCTGCGCCGGTGGGATTCGGTCGGGGTGGAGCACTTACAGTTGCACTTGCTCGCCGGCGGGGTCTTGACGTTGCACGCCTGGGGGAGCTCGAGCGCGCGCGTCTTGTCGATGGTGACGCCGCCGAGGGACGAGGAGTCGCCGCTGAGCGCGGCGCAGAGGCACTGCGGGTTGGTCCGCACGACGCTGGCGAGCTGCGAGCAGCACGACGACGGCGGCGCCGACACGTTGCCGCTGATGTAGTTGAGGCACGGGTACAGGCTGATCAGCGTGGTCGTGCACCCGGACTGCGCCGACGCCGAGGCCACCAGCGCCGCCGCCACGGCGGCCGCCAGGAACCACGCCACGGCCGACGCTCCTGCTCTTGCCATTTCTCTCCTCACTTCGGTAACGCGAGAGGCCTCTCTGAGGTCTTGGACTGAATGCTGAATTACCGATTTGTGGACTGAATGCTGAATTGCCGATTTGTGTTGTTTGTATTTGTGTGCTTGAGTTGTGTTCTTTGGATTTGTGTTGATGAGGCTTTTATAAGAGTGGTTCGTTTGGGAAGTTGGATGGGTTGGTTAACTTTGGTGATCTGCCGCTTCCTAATCTGTCAGGAAATCATCTTTTTCGCGTCGATTCTTTTGAGTGCCATTTTTGCAATTTTTTCAACCTGGCGGATGGACCTTGTCGTGTTAGGTGCTGCAAACAACGGTAGAACCAACAATTGTGGTCACTGCTTTTTTTGAAACGGAATTGTGGTCACTGTGAGCACGACGGGTGGCCAGAATTTTGTAGAAGGAACCGTTTCAAATTTTCAGCCCGGATATTGCTACTTTCGCTGAAGACAGAAATAAATCATGAGATTTCCATTTGATTACATTTATTTTATAAGGCGGGTGTACATTACAAAGATTCAAACCGTTTAACCTTTAAATCCCGAGTTGTGTTCAAGCTGCACTTAAAATAGTTGCAAGTATAGCTGTACTTATAAACTGTCTGTAAATATGGGGAACGTCCAAATGTGCACTATAAGTCCTCCCTCCAAGATTCGGCTCCTCTCTACTATAGTTGGTAAGTGAGAGGTGACGTCCTACTGGATTATGTGTTCGTTTGTTCTTGGGGGCTGCTAACACTGACGTCTACCATCATTTGTTGTTGTTCAACTACCCTGATGGCTTTACCAAATCGTTACCACTTCCAGCCTGTTCGCTTAGTCGTATTTGGCTTATAAGCCATGGCTTATCAGCCAACGAACAATATTTTTCTCTTACACCAAACCAGCCAACAATACTTTCAGCCATGACTTATAAGCTAAACAAAACTAAACGAATCTTAGTACTGCATGTGTATCGTTGTTTCCTCTCAGGCAACAGTACTTTCAGCCATTGTCGTGTCGTTGTTTCCTCTCAGCTAACTGCATGTGTATCGTAGTACTACACTGCTATCTTTTGATGACGAATCTTAATAACACATACCGATATCATAGATATTAATAATTTCTTAATAAACTTAATTAAATTTAAAATAGTTTGAACTCGGTATTATGCTAGAATCGTAATTTTTCTAGATGAAGAGAGTATCAGATAATATTAAGCTTGAAGCGTCTGCCTCAGATGTTGTTCAAGCATTTTATCGTAAAATTTTGGGTGTATGTCACGGGTAGTAAAATGAGCCAATACGGCAAAGTCATTCCCTTCGGTGACAAGAACATGTACAAGATTTGGTTAAAATTCTAAAAATTGCAAAACATTGTTTATGTGTATTGGTCTGTATTCAAGAGGTGAGGTAGTATCTTGGGGAGTTGGGGTGAAAGATAGTCGATGGACAGAACAAAGACTTACACCCTGTTTGGATGTTGTACTTTTGAAAAACCGTGGTATTAAGAAACTTCAGTTTTAGAATAAGGGAGGTGCAAAAATCAAAGTTTAGAAAAAAAAGAGATTTAGACTGGAGTTTGTGAACTAAAAAATATAGTTTTAGCAATAGTATGGTTTTCAAAACTCGAAACATCGTTACATCCAAATAGCTTATAGTTTTCAAAAGAGTGGCCCCGTTCGGCTTACCCCATATCCGGCTTGTTCGGCTTCTTTTTTTAGCCGGAACAGTATTTTTCTCTCACAACAATTCAGCCAGAACAGTGTTTTCAGCCAGTTTCAGCCAAAATTCTGCCAGCCGAACGGGGCTGAAATGATAGTTTTCTAACAAAATATTTTGCATCCAAAAAGACCCTAGCAATAGCAGGATCGAAAGTTCATAATTGCCCTTGCGGGAGATGAATACATGTGAGAAGGCAAGGGCGAGCAAGAGAGCATAGAGTAAGACTTCGTTTGGTAGGGATTATGGTACAACTTCTGATGTTGTTTTTTTCTGGTTTAATTACCAAACGAGTGTGGGATAAACAGCTTCACGCATGAATCTCTCCAAAACGCGCTCTCACAAGCCAAGGACCGCTAGTGAAGCTGAAAATACCAGCTTCACTGAGCTTCCTATGGCACTGGTGGGCCCAACGTGATCATGGGCACATTTGCCCGGCCTAGGCCGGCGTGGGGAGGGAGATGTCATCGCCGGCGTGCAGGCGTGCGGAGTAGCGTCGTCGGGCCGCGCGGAGGGGCACGAGCGCGGAGTCATCGGAGCATGGGCCTGTTCGCTTGGATGAATCTGGAGGAATTTGTGAGAGAGTGAACAGTATTTTTCAGCTCTGATTTTCAGCCGCCTTTCGTGTCAGCCGAACGGCGCCCACGCAAGAGAGAGGGCGCTTGCTGAGGCACACAGATGGGCGTGGGTGAGTGGATAAGGAAGAAGAAATATAAGGGGAGGGAACAAAAAGGGACGAGTTTTATGGCCACTTAAAAAAATTCTATTATGAGAAGTTATTTTGTTAAATGGGTCATCAAAACAGCTTTAGCTCTATCAGTTGAGCTGCTTTTCTTGAGCTATATCAAATGGGTCCTAAATAAAAAAGGGAGAAATTAGGCAGAAAACTGGAAGAAGGCTGGATCGATATATCCTGTCTACGGCATAACATTGGGGGGAAAAAATAAGTATTTCGTTTTGATTTCTCATTGTGCTATTTATAATATACTGTACAAAATAATGATCACAAGCCAGCTCAAATCCCTGAAATACTAATATCCTTGTAATAGTTCCTTCTCAAACCACACAAACACAACGCATGCTGCATGCATCCTACAACACCGCATCCCAATCAAACGAAAATGGATGCAGCTATGGAGAGTACAATGGTGACAGCTGCCACGGACACGTGAGAACTCCTAATCGCTGAGCTGGGCACCACCACTGGCCTCTGGGAGAACGGCGGCGAGTCCACCGCCGGAGACGTCGCCGTGGGATCCACCGGAGAGTCTGACGATTCAGGTGGAATCGGTGCTGCAAACGTGTCGATCACATCTGTCAATAAAGTTCAGAGAAGTAACCTGGCATGACATGAACGGAGAAGGCAAAGTCCTTACGCAGTGGAGGAAGCGCGGGAGCGAACGCGACAGGTCCTGGAGCTGGGATTTGCGTTGCCGTGTCTGCAAAAATTACCAAAACCGAAAGGCAGCTTTCAGCGGTTAATCTTGGTCATTAATGGAGACGGGTATATAAAGATTGCGGCGGCGAGCCGGCGACCACCAACCTCGGCACTGGAGCGGGACGGAGGTGGAGCTGCAGAGCTTGGGGAGGGAGATGGCGAGCGTGCGGTTGATGGGGAGGCTGAAGGGCACGTTGCCCGTGAAGATGAGGCAGGCGCAGTCGGCGCCCGTGCGCACCATCTCCGCCAGCGAGCCGCAGCACTGCTGCGTCGGCGAGCCGCCGCCGTTGGTGCTCCCCGTCACGAAGTTGAGGCACGGCGTGAACGTCGTTATCAGCGACGCCGTGCACGACGTCGCGATCTGCCCTGACGCCGGCGCGGCGGCCAGCAGCAGCAGCAGCACCGCGGCCACCGCCGGCGGCGGCTCCATCCTGTCACGCCGGCTCATCATCCGGCACGCCCTCTGGACTCTGGAGTCTTGAAGGGAAACTTTTTTCGAGGCAGCAAAGCGAACTGCAAGCACTGTGCTCTCGTGGTGTGTATATATATCAGACAGTGCTTGAAGTGGTAGATGAATATTGGGTCAAGTTGGTTGCACGAAACTGAGCTAAAATGTTGACCCATGCCAGTTGCTCGTGATCAAAATGATTCTGTTCTTTTTTTTAATCTTCTATTAGGTGAGGTAGGAATGGTTCGTGACCTGACCAACAAACGAATCACTGAAAGAGCAGTACGCAACTACGCAGTGCTACCTGCGGAGTTTCTACATACCAAGTTATATAAAACCGTTAAAAACATGAAAAAAAGGTTTTGGCGAGAAGTTGAGCAAACGCAAGACACACAAAGCCCAGAAAGCTCGGGTGGCGTGCTTCCTACGTGCCCTGGCAACTGCAAGGGAAGCTAATAAAATTTCGACGCAGATAATAATGCAAATCAAACCAATCAAGATGCAATAAGAGAAACACACATAAGCGGTGATACAAATCAAAACAATCATGTACAAACCTAATTGTAGTGAGTGATTTTTTTTTTAGAGAGAAGAGAAGAAAACAAAGCTTGTTAGCCTCGAAAACTACTTTCATGTCTAACCGAGCCCATTTTTTAATAGATCCACTGGATCCCGTAGTCTGAATGTTTCCTGTTAGACCAATACTAGAGGCCCATGTACGTCTCCATGTCTCCGTAGCCCACGAGAACTCAGCGGCAGAGCGCAGAACGCGTTCGTTCGGTCCGAGCATTTAGTCCCACATCACCAGCTGAAGGCAGACGCGCCGCGAGCTTGCGCTATAAGATGAGCGCCCCGTGCCCTGTTAATCCTTACTTAGTGCCCGTTGGGGAGAACGGGAGAAGTTTGGCTCCCGCTAAAATAGCTTCAGTCATGGCAGCTTTAATGGTGCAGTAGATTTATGTGCAGGGCTGAAGCAGTTTTTGGATCGTCGTAGAAACAGGTTTTTTTTGGCTGTTTAGAAAGATAGTTTCTTCTAGTAATCTAAAAGGATGAATTGTCGGCGCATCTTCTTTAACCTCTAGCGTCGTAGCGCGCCATGGGGCCACGCTCGTACCGGCTCTGTCCTCCACGCCAGCTCTCCTCCACACCCTGGCGTCCGGAGCATCGGCCACTACGCGCGTTGTGTGGCCATGCGCCCGCCCTCCCTCCCTCCCTCCTCGCATGCGTCTCCGAGCACTACCGTTGCAGCCGCATCCTCGTGCGCCTCCGCCAACCATCCTTGCGCCGTCAGGGGTTGACCCGACGCCTCCGCATGAGCTGCGCCCTAGCACAGGCGCGCCGCATCTGCCTCGACGCCGGACGAGCTCCGCGCCGCCGTCGTGCACCCTGTGACGCCCCTACGCCGCCGTCGCCCACGTCGACGCGCCTCGGGTGCAAATCAGGCCACCGGCCGGTTCTGGGCCCACTCTCTGTTGCTGAGCCAGAGGAAGCTACACTTTTTGGCTCCTACTCTCTCTCCTCGCCTCTCAGCGGGTTTCCCGCGGAGCCGAACGCGGAGCGGAGCCATTCTCTGCCGTTTGGCTGGTGGAGCAGCGAAACTGCTCCTGGAGCTGGTCTAGGAAGGCCCCTTACCTGGATGGGGTCGACGAGCGATCAGGAAGGCCCATGGCCTAGGTCAGTGGTAGGGGGCACGCGTTCACGCGGCCCTCGCCAATTCTATAAAATTAAATAAATTTTGGTCCCTAGAGAATTCTGCTTTGGTCCCTAGCATCAGGCTGGCGCGAGCGGGGTTTTCCTTTTGGAGCCTTGTCACTCTGAGCACCTTTGCATTGCGATCCGATTCGGGGCCCTCTTTCGCAATTGACCTGCTTTGCTCATCAGTAGACTTTCTAGGTTTGTGTTACTTTTTTTTTTGCTTCTGCTCATCAGTCAATGTGCAAAGTTTGATTGTCTGATGCCAACCATCAGATACAAAAATAAAATGCACTGCTTCAGGAAACTTTAGTGCAAAGCGGAAATACCTGACCAAAAAGAAGTTTTCCTCATGATTCCGTGGAGGAGCTCCCGTCGCCGAGATCCCTTGGAGCAGGGTCACCGGGCTTTTCTCGGGCGCGTTCGTCGGCTGTGGTCGCGGGGAGCGGATCTCCTTCAGTGACTCGGAGGACTACTCCGACTCCGAGCCGCCCTCACCGCCGCCGCCTAGTAAAGGTAAGGCTGTCGCGGGGCCGTGTGGGCACCGCCGGCGTGTGCGTCGTCATCGTCGTCTCCGGCGGAGGCCCGGGGACTTCATGACAGCAGCTCAGCATTCACACCCCCAGCTCGACCCGGCTCCTGCTGCCGCCTCCCGCCAACGCCGTGACCCTCCTACGGTGCACCCTGTTCATGCCCTGGAGGAGCCGGATGTAACACCCTCGATGTTACACTGTAAACCACTCACTAAAACACTACATGAGCATCATGTTATGTGTTAATGCATGTGTTGGAATGCTTTGGTGAAGTCTCGTAATGCAAAATAATTAATAAAATGTAAATCGGAAGGTTATTCCATGATTCACGTAATTATCAAGTAGAGTTGTAAACTAATTCTTATTGAACAAAAATGATATAAAACACCTATGTGACACTTAAATAAAGTTGAAGGTAGAAACTTTCTAGATGGCAATGAAATACTTGTTGTTAAAAAATATTATTGTTAGATAGTATTTCTAATAGCTTAGAGATGAAACTTGGATTAAAATTCAGTCCAAGACTTAGCAAATTTTCAAAGTTGAAAACGGTGTGACAATGCTATATTAGCGAATTAATTCTGAAAAATTTAGCTAAAGGCTTTTGCTTGGTGGGTTGCATCCAAGTAATTAGTTGTCGATGGTTTAGGGGTTGGTTTAGTTAGTATGTGCTTTGATCATAAATTAATTGCTACAAAAAGCTAAAAAAATGTTGTTTGGGCACCGATTGACAGCATCCACTTAGCATGCTCATATTTTATTCTCTAGTCTATCTTGGTCCAAGTATATTGCTCCGTTCAGTAGCCTTATGTACCATATTCAGCTAAGCCGAGTTGGTTGGGTCATAACCGAGCTAGATGGGTCGTGGTTGACGCTTTAAAAAGCATGCACTGCACGTATTGGGCCAGTTTGCCAAGTGTGCGTGGTCACCGTGTGCCTAGGGCGCCGCTGGCCATCCTGACCGGGCGCCTAGCGCGCTGCACACTGCTGCTGGCGCCGTTGTCGGTGCCACTGTGGTTGCACACGCCGCCCTGCTACGCTGCCCTGGTCCGCTGGCCACTGGTGCCGCTGCCGTCGCGTCACCGCTGCGGCGCGCACCACCCTCCACTAGCTCCGCCGCCCGTCGTTGTTTTCGCTCGGGTTGTAGTGGCATCACATGGTCTAGCTAAAATCACAGCAATGCGCACGTTGCATCCTGGAGCTGCGTTGTCCGTAGCGCCGCCATGACACCCGCACGCGCGCATGTTCGCGCTAGAGGCCAGCCGTCTTCTCGAGACGACGCAGCGCTCCCACGTGTTACTGGCCTCGCTCTGAGCCACGTCACGCCAAACTCATTTTTGCAGAGTCTAGTCATTCTCAAAGCAATTGCGTGCGCCAGGTGATAGTTAAGGCACTAGGCTACACGTCAAGACCACGCATGGCCATAACCGAGCCCTATATAACTCCAAATTGGAGTTTACCTCGTCGCCGGTCAGTAGAAGCCCCAATAACGTCGCGCCTAAGGCACCAATTGTTTAGGACCCCAGAATCCAATTCCATGGCACCAATAGCTTCACCTTGATCCCCTATGCACCCTGCGCAACTCAGCTGAACCACTACCGTCGTCCCCGGGGTGTCGCCGCGGCCGTGTCCGGCGCGGAGCGCCGCCAAGCTGCTCGGTCGCTCGTGGCCAGCGACACTCAGGCCGTCCCAGACCAAACAGTCACCTCGGCCAGGTTTCTGGTGAGTCACTGAAGCTCATACGCTAGCTAGTTGATCGCCTAGCTGCCCTAGTTCACCGGAATGGTCGCACCGCCGTAGTGAACCACCGTGCGTCGCTCCCACACGCGCTAGTGTGTCCCCTAGCTCCCTACCACATTCTAGGATCGTCATTTGAGCTAGCGATGGCGATCGACCCCTCAGAAAAGCTAGGGCGGGTCCCAGTTGCTCGGCGTGAGCGTGGAATTCTAGCAGAGGTCGCGTCGTCGCACGCACCGCCGCCAGGGGCTTCGCAATAGGAATTAGAAGAAATCCAGGGTGCTAGGTGAAAGGGCAGAGAGAAGGAGAAATAGTGATGAGGACCGCTGGTTAATTCACAATTAGCACAAGGTCCTTTTTGCAATGTTGCCAGCACGTGCACGGCCTCCCCGCGTGGGCCGCATTTGCTGGGCTGGTCTGTTGGCCGTGGGTCGCGCTCTGCTGCTTTCGTTTTCTTTTTTCTAGGAACTGGCTAATGGTTTTCCTTTTAATTCCCGAGCTGAGATTGTATAATTAATATAAAATTGTATAGGTGTCCAAAAATTGTGAAATAAATTTTGTTAGATTCCTAAATTTGTGAGCTATCTGTTAGTATATTTAGTTCATACAGTTCTATAGTGTCTTTAGGGTTACTTTATTTATTTTAGAATGCTTGTTATTATTATCATTATTTAGAGAATGAATTTTTGTGATGAAATGGTAGAAGTGCTAGCTTTGAAAATTTTACAGTAGGCTCATGATGATATAGACCCTCTCTGTAATTTTTGTAACCCTTGAATAGCTAATTTATTAAGGTGGCTAACATACCTTAATTGAAAGCATATGAAATCATTTAAGAATTTAGTTGTAAGGCTATTGTTGTTGATGCAACGATGTCTCGTTTAATAAAAATGATAGTTAGTTGGTATGTAATTAGTAGAGCTAGCTCAATAGCATAATAAGTGTGTTTGTATTTTAAGAGTTGCTGTTGTCTAAATATTAATTGTTGCATCATCATCATTTCATGCATGTAGAGAACAA